CATTTCAGCAGCTGCTGTTTCCATTCTGAAAGACCAAAATGTCATGGAAAGGAGTAAGAAATTGATTGATTGATTTCAAGTATTGAGATCAAGTCAGTGTTATTGTCTGAGGCATCATCTTTTTTTTTAACCCGTGATTTTCAGAAACATCCAAATTTGACTTTTGACTTTTGTCATGTTTTTATAGCAGGAAAAGACACAAGTCTCAAGTGGTGTGGTCTGACAGAGACTGGGAGGCACCTTCCACTACAGAAAGCTGCAGAATGTATGGCCTGGCTACAAATGACAGGTGGAAACACATCATTGGCAAATCTCATTACAGCTCAGTATCTCATATACACGTTTATCATTTTCCGCCATAGAATTTGATCATCCCTTTTGTTACTTTGACATGTAATTGTTACAAAAAATTATCCCTAAAAAGCGACTGTTGTATTTGGTGTCAGAGTTTGTTGGCAAAAAAAATATTATTTACATTCCAGTGCTTTCATCAATTTTCCGTCTGTAGTGTGTACTGAATCAAATGAAATCTTATCAATATACTTTTCAATTAATTAGAAGTGAGTTCATCATACAATAACTATTGCTCCGGGTGCACACTTTTGTTAAATTAGCAACAATTAAGTCATTTATTTCCCATAGAAGGCGGCATGTTTGCCATGTGCAGCAGCCAGAAAATGTTTACGAGTAACTGGAAGTTGAAAAGACTGTTGACATTCATGATGTTTATGAGTTACATTTGCATGATTAAGTCACAGTTTTCAATTTTCATGGACAAATCTGGAAGCAAACGTATCATAGCATATTATAAAAAATCTGAATCCAACTTGCTGCTAATGGCCGCTAGAAATAGTTCAAATTCGTAACTTACACATGGTGGCCATTATTACACGAAAAGTTCATGAAAATTTTCCCACCAGTGCCATCTTATCTAAAATACGATCATTTGTGATCTGAAATTTATGGGGAAAGAGTTGTAGGTATATACATTTAGTGTTTGTTTTGTTGTCATTCCAAAATCGAAATTTGCTTGTGTTTTGAAACTTTACCCATGATTGCCCTTTTTTATCTCTTGATTTCTGCACAGATGTACATACATGTAAGTCTTCGATTTCTGCTAGGATTTAAGTGACAAAAAATATGTTTGATGACTTGGCGTTGTAAACCACGGAATAATATTTACATCCACTACTAAAGTGTTTATGTTGAAAAAACAAATACTCGTGTTGCTAATCAGGGATAAAAAATGTTGTCAGCTTCACCATTGTCAGCTGATGCAAAGTTCCATGCAGTGATATAGGAATCAGTTATTCCATGCAGTGTTGCTAGTATGCAATACACTGTTTCGACTGACAACTTTTGACGATTGAATAAACCATCGTGTAAGTTTTTTTATTGATATTATTAGGTATGGTAGTAAATTTTATTCAAGCAATACCACATTTTCAATTTGAATAAAAGGTTGAACTAAGAGTGACAATGCAGATAAAAATATTGAAAGATGTACCCGATTTTCAATCACGCTGAATGAATGTTGATGCGATATCTATGACTACTATGCGGGAATATCACAGAATTGCTGCCTAAGTCAATCCCTGCATCATGAACACTCTTCGCACTTCACCTGTTGTAGCCTTATTGTTCATTTGTTTGTTTGTTTGTTGTTTAATGCCAAACTCAACAATTCTAGCTGGCGTGATGGCGGTCTGTAAATAATTGGGGGGCATGGGTGGCCCAGTCATCTAAGACGCCGCGATTCGCTGTGCAGAGTTGCGTCCCTTGGGCATGCCAGAAACCTATGATTCTGGGTTTGAATCCCGGTTCGCCCCGATTATGTTTCTAGGTTTGTCAGCACCATACCCGTGCTCGTGGGTTTCACCGAAGTGGTAAACGTCAGAGACCTGCATCACTTCGGGCTTTCCTCCCACATTAAGCTGACACGCCGTGATATTACTGGAATACTGTTGAAAACGGTGTTAAACAAAACTCACTCACTCACTCACTGTAAATAATTGAGCCTGGACCAGACAATCCATTGATGGTCCATGACACTGAAGTCTGATGTGGTTGACCATCACATATATTAGATCCCAACGTTGTTACTGCTATTGCCCCATGAATGAAGCTTAACATTTAACAATGTTGTAAATAGCATATCTTTCACAACTTGCTAAAAAATGCACCACCATAGGTTATTCTTAGTCAAACAATATGTGAAAACTCCTAATATTGCTGTTTATTCAATGACATGGCCTGTAGATGTGAGGTGTCAATGAGAAGAGTTCACACTCGATGACCCCAGCATCCCTGTTTTTAGGCTGACGTCACAGGGCATTGTTTCACTGCCAACAAAATTTAACAGACCATGTCTTAGGGTATTTTGTAATGTTTGTTAACTTTATGGTGTTGTAATTCTCAAGGCAGGCCAATTTATGCCAATTTTCAACTTACTGGGTCAGTCATTACACAACTGCCTCTATCACTCAAATGACATAACAAATTATCACATGACAAATAAGAACATGATATAAATAGATAGTCAAATAGCTTCTGCGTCTTAACATGAACGAGAACGTTTCATATCCATCTGTTATCCACCTTGAAGATGCAAGTTCATGCGATATCAGCACTCCGCAAACACACCAGAGGCTATGACTGATATAATTGTCCTCCCCAATCACGATATCTGACCTATGCTGTCTTGTGACCACATCCAGAATAATATTCACCTGAGGACAATTGTAGCTCACCTATACATTCAACTAATTGTGCTTTTATTGTCTGAATATTGAAGTTTTAACAAACTCTGGTTCGGGCGCAATAATATTTATTCAACTAAACTACACAAAATGACACAGTTGGATGCTGATACCAACTAGTTTAACAGTTGGTTGCTGATGCAAGGCAAACAATATCTTGGCAAACTTTGCAGCATGCAATGTCATAGATAAGCATGAGAAACTCCCACATAAAACATGTACATTGCGTACATATGCGATGAATAAAAAATAAAAATAAAAATAATGGCAAAGCAGTTAAAGACCTGGTCAGACTTTGCAGAGCATAAAATATCATGGATTGTTGCTACTTGAATAATTCCTAATAGGGCCACTTTACACACTTGTTTCATAACAGATGGGTGTTGATGCAAGGCAGTGCAATATCTTGGCAAGCTTTGCAGCATGTGAAGTGTCAAAAGATAAAGCATGAGAAACTCCCTACATAAATCGAGTACATTGTTTACCTAGGCGACGAAAAAAATTAAAATACTGGCAACGCAGTAAAAAGCCCTGTCAACCTTTGCAGAGCATAAAACATCATGGATTGATAATACTGGAGTAACCCCTCATACAGCAAAACTATTTACTAGTTTAATAAGAGTATAAGAGACTCTTCTTTGAGTTGATATTTCTTATGATTATGAAATGGTTGTTGTTGTTTTTATTTATAGCTGGCTGCCAATGTGGGTGAAGCTCTGATACACGTCATCCTGATATACATTATTTCAATGATACAACATGGACCCATGTGTAGAACAGGCCTTCAGCAACCTATGCTTGTTGCAAGAGGCAACTAACAGGATCAGGTGGTCAGGCTAACTGACTTGGTTGATGCATGTCATTGTATCACAACTGCATGGATCATTGCTCATGATATCAACCACTGGATAGCCTGGTCCAGACTTGATTATTTACAGACCTGTCATATAGCTCGAAAATTGCAGAGTATGTCGGAAACAACTACATATTAGGCTGTGACATATGAAGGGATCAATATCAAGCACATTATAACTTTCTAAAACACTAGAACACATATCCCACTAAGAAAGAGATCAAAACAAAAGAAGAGTAAATGCTGTGAACACTACAAATATATTTTTTTATTTTAGTACATCTATTGATCCTATCAATATATTAGCATGATATCTTGACATGTCACTCATCAGGCCATGAACAATTGCATACCTACTAATGTATGCATAATACACAGGTGTTGATACAACATGTATGCATAATACACAGGTGCTGATACAACATGTATCATAATACACAGGTGCTGATACAACATGTATCATAATACACAGGTGCTGATACAACATGTATCATAATACACAGGTGCTGATACAACATGTATCATAATACACAGGTGCTGATACAACATGTATCATAATACACAGGTGCTGATACAACATGTATCATAATACACAGGTGCTGATACAACATGTATCATAATACACAGGTGCTGATACACAATGTATCATAATACACAGGTGCTGATGCAACGTGTCACTATACACTGGTGTTGATATGATATGTATATAATACACAGGTACTGATACAATAAGTGTCACAATACACTGATACAATATGTACCAGGTGCTGATATGATATGTATCATAATACACAGGTGCTGTTTTGATATGTATCATAATACACAGGTGCTGTTTTGAAATGTATCATAATACACAGGTGCCTATAGGATATGTATCATAATACACAGGTGCTGATATGATGTTATACCTCTATCAAAATATCTTGCACTTCAATTGGTTAGTTTGTATCTTGTGACCAAACAATACATTTCAATGGAGACCACCAAATCACGAAAATTGAGGCCTCAGGCTGGTCAGACGACATCTGGGGTCGCATTCTCGGGTCCTTGGGACCTTGTTTTTGCATACTGACCTCGTCAAGAGAAATTATTTGTATATTGATAATAATACTAAAGTAAGTTATAATAGTCATATTGCCAAAATAACTTTGTGAAATGTACTCAAAACCCTTACCTAAATAGCTTTTCAAACGGAATGTTGTGCATCAACAAGAGGTTTGACTGTTGACAAAATGATATGCCCTTAATTCTACCACTAAATACCAGGTGAGCTAAGCACCCAGTTACAACGTTACATACATGGACAGCCAGCATGGACAAGATGTGATACTGGTGGATGATAGAGGTCAGGGTAAGTGTCATCTACCTGTCAGTACATATAATCTCACAGCTTCAACAGCGGATAGTCGAAGGTATCTTTCTCCAAGATGAAGAGGCTCCTTGAAGGCTCTCTGCTTTTTGCCTTTGTCTGCCTGTGTGTAGCAACACCAACAGCAAAGGACAAAGCAAAATTCACTCGATATGAACCTAACTGGGCTTCTATAGATTCTAGACCTCTGCCAGCATGGTACGATGAAGCCAAACTTGGAATCTTCATTCACTGGGGTATCTTTTCCGTGCCCAGTTATGGTTCTGAGTGGTTCTGGTGGCTCTGGCAAGGGCAGAAGGTTCCAGACGTTGTTGCTTTCATGAAAGACAATTACCGACCAGACTGGACATATGCAGATTTTGCCAGGGATTTTACAGCTGAGTTTTTTGATCCAGTACAGTGGGCCAACATCTTCAATGCATCTGGTGCACAGTAAGTTCATCAGGTTACAATACCTGGGATAGCTTTAACAAGGATAATTATCATCTATCAATTTCATATTGTAGTGTTTTAATTGGTTCAGTAAGTTTCTGGACATTTACTATATTATGGTCTGGGTGGAGTGTGATCACATTGGGACTCGTATCTGGAGGACCCGTGAAGATCCGTGGTAGAATTGATCTTCAGCAACCCATATGCTTGCCGTAAAAGGCGACTTAGATGCTTGTCGTAAGAGGCGACTAACGGGATCGGGTGGTCAGGCTTGCTGACTTGGTTGATGCATGTCATCTATCCCAATTGCGTGGATCGATGCTCATGATATCAAGCACTGGATATTCTGGTCCAGACTCAATTATTTACAGACCACCATCATATAGCTGCAATATTGCTGAGTGCGGCGTTAAACAACATACAAACAAACTCATATCTGATTACGTCTCCACTGCCCCTAATGCATACCACATGAAGACTGGGCGGTCAGACGCAGGGATTTGGTTGCTTGCATGTTATTGTACCCTGACAACCTCAAATGTTTCTCTTAATATCAATTTTGGCCTAGATTTGATTACTTACAGTGTACAATTATATGGCTAGAATATTGCTGACGGTGGTGTAAACAACAAAGTGTGCAGAAAGAGTGTTCCTGCTGAGGAGAATATCATTTTTTCGTGACTCAACTCGTGTTATTCCGGGACAAGCCGAATAGCGACTCGTGCCCCTCTCATGGCCATTTTTGCAACCGGGTTCCGTCTTAGCGCAAACGGGCATACCTTAAACAATTGTCAACTTGTTGCGTAATGGTTCACATATATTTCCCCATATATCATATATATTTCAAATGCAATTTAATCCACATCAGGACAGGCGAAATTATACAGTATGATTGAACACATTTAACTGTGTCTTTGGTATACTTTTAGGTGCAAGACATATGTAAAATCAAAAAATATTTCTGAGGGATTCTTTGACGAAGAACTTGAAATCATTCGCGCATTCTGATTGGTTTGTGGTATTTTCGCACATAACATTCATCGATAGGGGGACGAGTCTTCTTGCAGTTTACGGAAAGGGGCGAGTGGTGAAGAATGAGGACAATATATCGCTTCAAACTTAGGCCAGATAATATAAGTTGTAGCAGGATCATGAGGGGTGATCCTGATACATTGAATTTATCTTACCGACATGTTATCATATGACATTGTAAAAGAATTAGAATCGATAGAAAACAGCTGTTCGTTTTAGGTGAGTTTAACTTGGGCTATGTCACGTTACTACCATTGACTTGGAAAAAGCGTGCAGCATTTTGCTTCGAAGCGGGGTATAAGGGATTTATTCTGCCTCTCAGAAATCCAGTTGCAGGCCAACTTGTTAGTGGGGGGGTATGAGAGATTTGTTCACCTGGTGAGAAATTTATTTCCCTCCAAGGCAGGATACATAGTATTTTATCAAGACCAATCATATCTCATCATTCTGACATGGAGGTATGATAATGTACTTTATTGTTTAATGGATTGTCTGGGTTAAAATACCAAAATGTAGAGGGAATATATTGCATTCTAAGGGTTTCTATTTCTTTCACTGCCGAAAACCTACCACTATATTTACCTTTTCTAAATGTGTTTTGTTTGTTTGTTTGTTTTGATTTACATCACACTTAGCACTGAAACAGCTATATGACAGCAGCCTGAAAGCAATCAAGTCTGGACTAGATAATCCAGTGATTGATATTAGGAGTACCAATCAATGCCATTGGGGTACAGTGACACGCAATCAACCAAGCCACCGAGTCAGCCCACGGAATCCATTAAGGTGTCTTATAGTTTCAGGAGAAATTCTCACCCAGGATCCCCACAGTGTTGACAGTTATGACCTTGACGATAACTATAATAGTAAAATCTACCTTGACATATGCTACTTTTCATTTTGTTATCATACTCAATGTTGTACATGAAATTCAAAATAAATATTATATTCAATATTATGATTCCCCTTCAAATTAAATAATACTCAACTGTTATACTATTTCAGATATGCTGTGTTAGTCAGCAAGCATCATGAAGGTTTCTGCAACTGGCCAACGAATGTCTCCTTCAACTGGAACTCCCAGATGCTTGGACCCAACAGAGATCTCGTGGGTAAGAAACTCAGTTTTTTGGCAGTGTATGAGTAAAAAATAAATTTTTGTGTTACTGATTAAGTCTGTGAAGTTATTATTGTTGACTTATTTATTCATAGGAATTGACGTCAACATTTTTTACATCGATGGAGGTAAACATGTTAAAAATGTGCACACCAGTTATACCTATATATACTGCAAAATTTAATGAAACCATTCTGAACTAGCTTTCAGCCTCTGTGCCAGCAATTATTCAACTCAAAGTGGATAGCACACACTACTAATGCCTGAATAACCAGTGGTCGATAGTGTGAGCCAATCTCAAGGATGCACTCATGGACAACTATCTAACCTGATCCATCTATTTACATTATGGAATGTGCATAATTTTGAGGTGATGATGTTTAATATCAGATACTAAAAGAAAATATGCAATTAACAATGCCTCAAATCATTTTATCTCTCAAATTATATTTATATTCAATATATTGTTGAAGATTGGTTCAGAAACATTATTTTGATCCATTTGCTACCATATATACTGCATCTGATCTTCAAACAATTCCTAACAGGCGAACTAGCAGCAGCGATACGAGGAAACACTAACATCCGCTTTGGTCTGTACCACTCCCTGTTTGAATGGTTCCATCCCCTGTACCTTCAAGACAAGGCCAACAACTTTTCTACATCACGCTTTGTTGATGTAAGTATAATACAGTATCAATACTTACAGCTGTTATGTGAAAGAGGTATCAGTTAGTATTAATAGTTAGAAATGTTCCTGTAAGTATCATGTGGTGTTAATACTTAGTTATCCTATGAGGTGTTGGTGTAAACATCATTTAGTATTATTAGATAATGGTTTCCCTTGTATTTCTGCTGCTTTCAGGTGATCACAATCACAAATTTCCCCATCGTTTTTAACATTTACAAGGGATTTTCTCTTTATCCTTGCAAGTAAAGCTTTTGAGTTTAGTTCTAACCCTGGGTAGTATAGATACCCAGATGCCCTATAAAGCATTTGATAACAAAGAGCATCCATGTTTTGTTGCGTTTCATCTGATTTTGTCAAAACCACAATGTTTGAGAATATCTCTTTTGAAAAAAACACCAAGGTATCATTATTCTCAAAGAGTTTAATGTGAAATGTTTGCCTCTCTTAACTAAAATGGGAACAAACCTAACTGCAATTTTTACTCAAAGAATTAATTCTGTTTACATCAAATTCATATCAAAGTTATAAATATGTCAAAGACGCAAAGCAAAAAAAGAGACAAAACTCTTTTCATATTCATAAGACATCTCCATTGAACTATATCATGAGCATGTTCATGAATGACTATCAAAATGCTGATACCAGGTGTTTGCAAAAAGGTGAGCGTATCCTACCACTCTGGTAGCACTCATCACAAACACATGTAAAGGCAAGGCAATTGTTCACCTGAAAAAAACGCAGGAACATATGGTACAAGTCAAAATATGGAATTGCATTGGACAATGACTCCCTCATGCGTCAAATTTGGAAATGTCCTCCACATATCAACCATAAAAAAATTGAAAACTTTACTGAGGCCTTGAATGTCACATGTAAATTCTTGTCTTAGACTTGTGGAAAGTTTTGTCACTCTGAACCTAAAAAAATACTAGATAAGTTTGATCCAGAGGGCCAACTGGCGCACAGGAATTGAAATGCTGTATGGGAAAATAGGTTTCTGACTGGTACCCTTCCCTTCACCTGCAAGATGCTAGTGACTGCAAGAGGGGAGTGCAAGCACTCAAGGGCAGGTAAACCAGTCTTGGATAGACCATGTCTCCCTCTTATGATTGCTGCCAAATAACAGAAACATGTTTAGTGTAATCATTGACAGTTAGGAGTACATGTATTATTAAAATATTTTCACAATTATTAATGAATTTTGTTTGTACGCATATCATTATACATATGTGAGACAAAGATAGAGTATCTTCTAAAAGTCTGGTTTAACCTTTCCAGCTAATACTTATCCCTATGTAACTCTCTCAAACCAAACAGATAAGGCATGGCATCAGATGAAGCAGTTTCTATTTCTAGTTCAGTAACTAATCTCTTTCTGTGTCTATCATCGTTATTATGTCAAGGATTCTTTAATGACTTTCTCAAAAGAAAACTTTGAATTTCTTGAGTAAACAACATCCAATTTCACAAATGCCAGAATCGAGGTTTATAAAAACTGTTATATGTTTTAAAACATTTTTTCCTACAGGGATTTGAAAGAGAACATGTTTGTTTGTTTGTTTGTTTGTTTGTTGTTTAACGTCACACTCAGCAATATTCCAGCAATATCACGGCGGTCTGTAAATAATCAAATCTAGACCAAACAATCCAGTGATTGACATCATGAGCATCGATCCATGCAATTGGGATACGATGACATGTCAGGTAGCCTGACCACTCGATCTAGTTAGTTGTCTTTTACGACAAGCATAGTCACCTTTTAGGGCAAGCATGGGTTGCTGAAGACCTATTCCACCCCCCGATCTTCACGAGTCAAAAGAGAAAAAAGATTTGTGATTAAGCAAATTATAATGAATATCATCAAACCATCACATTTTACAAAATTTGACTAGGATAAAAAATACATATCTATATTTTACCCTTTCATTACAGGAGAAGACAATTCCTGAGTTGATAGAGATTAGCGAGAAGTACAAGCCTGAAGTAATTTGGTCTGACGGTGACTGGGAGGCACCTTCCTCCTACTGGAAATCTGCAGAATTTCTGGCCTGGCTATATAATGAAAGGTGAGGACCTGGGAGTCAGTGAGTATGGTTTTAAGCTGCTTTTAGCAACAAATGTTATATTTGGGATAACACTTTCTTAGTAAAGTACAGATTCTCGTACTTTTTTGGGTTGAGTCCCGTCCGGGATTCGAACCCACACTTGCCAGAGTGAGGCACCTAATCGCCAGCACACAAAGTTAGCGATGTAATCACTCAGCCACCGAGGCTCCCACAAAAATGGAAGTCCGACAACTGGTAGTCTAGATCACGTACTTTGAGTACCCCTCTGACAAGTGTGAATTGGCAATGCTCCCATGGCATTGTGTATTCATGCTTTTAGAAATATTCCAGCCATTTGGGCAGGGAAACCAGAAATGGCTTCACACAATCTACCATTGTGGGAATTCCAACCTCTGCCATCAGTACAATGAGCAAACGCTTTAACCACTAGGCCACCCTAGTCTCATAATAAGGTTACATTATAATATAATTTAATTGGTAATTAGAACTCGTCATTTTGATACACCTTTGAAGAATCCACAAAAATAATGAATTCATCTTTCATCCTCAAGGTGTGGTAACAAAAGTCACTGTATGCATGTATATTATGTGATGAAAGGTGTACATTGTAAATCAAAATTATCTGAAATACAAATGTTCTGAGCCTACATATGATGGACTGGGTTGATGGATTTGGTTGTTAATTATTTTTCATCATAATCCCCTCTAAGATCCACATTTCTGCCAAAGATGCTGGAGTGCCTGGATCCATTTGGTTTAGAAGGCTTCCTGGGCTGATGGTGTAAAAAGTTCTCCACGTATGCATAATGGTCGCCAATTGGCAATGGCAACGCCAAACTTGTCTACAGGTGCATTGTCCAGAAGGAAACAACACAGCTTTAGTGCCCTTAATATTACCAAAGCAGATTAGCATACTATTCGCCATTAGCTATCTGAGAGCTAGGTCAGGAGGTAGGATTCCTTTGGAATCCAGGAAAACCGAAGCCATTATCCTGCCGGCTGATGGAACTGATTTTCCCTTTGGAGAAGACATTAGATGTTTCCACCACTTTGACAGTAATCTAGTCTCCAGCTGACAGTGGTGAAACCAAGAATAAGCCATGGTCACAAATCACTCAACAACATCAGCTCGGTCTGCTTCAAAATGACCTAAATCTCACAACAGACAATGAACCTGGAGCATTTCTGATCAGGATTCAGAAGCTTTCCAACTTCACATGCCGAACTTTTGTCATGTTCAGCTGTCAACACTCTGATGAGATATTCTTTCGGTAATGGCTATGTGATGTGTGGTGAATCCTCAATCATCAATAATATGTTAACAAAACTTTCCTTAGTGGTCAGTTGATCTTCCTGATCTTGGATCATCTTCGAGGCTCTCTTTTTCCCTCTTGAACTCTGCTGCCCACCTCTTAACAGTGGCAAAGGAAGGAGTACACCATGGAGACCATGGACACCATGGACACATGGATGGCTGGTGAAGTTAGCCCTTTCAGCTGGAGATACTTGATGACAGCATGGGAGCCAATTTTGTCAGTTTCATCAACAGAAAGTACCTAGTCACTTTGATCCCTTAAGAAAAATGTTGGCTGGTTGTGCATTTGGTTCAAATGCAACCTGTAAGCATGTAAAGTACTGTGCGTGATACATGCAACCTGTTAAGGCTCAGAACTTTGCAGCCAAACCTCAGAGCAAAACAACAAAAATAACTTTTATCCATAGACAGTTCCAGTTCCTGTGAATAATATAATATTTGAGGTAAATGATTATGTTGATGATGTTATTAGTATCCATTCTAATGCATTATGATTCTGTGGTGACCCCATTGTACCCTTGCATTTCAGTCCCACCAAGGACTCTGTGGTGACCAACGACCGATGGGGAAAAGATGCCACATGTCATCACGGAGGTTTCCTCACCTGCATGGACAGATACAACCCAGGCATGTATATATACATAAGCAGACGAACGGAGGGACAGATGGAAGGACAGAGGGATGGATGAAGGGATGGACAGATGGATGGGGGGATGGATGGATGGAGGGACAGACAGACAGACAGACAGAAAGACAGATTGGAGTTTAGGACTAGTGGCTGATACATACAAAGCATTATATATGTTCATTTTGGTGCAATCTACTTGGCTCACCATAGAAGTTGAATGTTCATTAGTTTATCACACCTGTCAGCAATAGCTCTTTCGCATTTACATGACAAAAACTGCAGAGAAGAAATGAACACAAGTCATGCCCAAATTAAAGTTCCAGGGAGATACAGGTCCATCAATGACTATCCCATGAAACTGTCTACTGACTGAAATTGTTACATATTCCGGCCATTTGTTTCCACAGGAACACTACAGCCCCGTAAGTTTGAGAATGCCATGACAATAGACAAAAAGTCATGGGGTTTCCGGCGTAATGCTGATCTGGCAGCCTACCTCAACATGGAAGAAATCTTAAGTACATTTGCCGAGACCATCAGGTGAGGATGAATAATGAGTCTGTACAGGTTCACAGAAAACTGGAGGCTCGAGGAGACATTTTATCTTCATGTAGTGACAATCTTGCTACAATATTGCCTTATTTGCATACATGCAAAATGTTTGAAATAAGCATCTGCACACATGCCCGTGGCAGGTAGATCTTATGTCGGGCCCATAGTTTCAAATTTGTATGTGTCTTTATGGCCTGCAGTACATTTTTTTCTTGATTTATTTGTCACAATAAGCAGCAGGGTTTTTTAAAATGAGGGCCTGTAGTGTTTGGTCAGGGCCTGCAGCTTTTAAAGTCAGTGTGTCTCGATGGCAGCAAGACATTTTTTAAATTTTAAACACTATATATAGATCTCCTTACATATGTATGTCTCTATAGACTGTGTAAATTATTCAAATTCTTGTTAAGTAATTTTGTTTCTTGCAGTCTGCCACTTTATCCAAAGCTTGAAAGTAGTAAAATGTCTTTGGGGTTTATGTAGTACATACATTTGAGTGATATCTTCTGAAAAAAGAAATAATGGCAAAGACATGCTTACACTTTTTCATTATTCTTTTGCCAGTTGTGGAGGCAACATGCTCATCAATGTAGGGCCAACCAAATACGGTATGATCAGTGCACTCTATGAGGAAAGACTGCGCCAACTAGGCGGATGGTTGAGCGTAAATGGAGAGGGCATCTATTCCACAAAACCATGGACCTCCCAGAATGACACAGTGACCAAAGGAATCTGGTGAGTTGCATATCAGATATACTTTAAAATCAAATGTATAATTAAGAGTGAATGAGTGTTCAGGTACTACTCTGCAATAAGCTTTCAATATCTTGGCAGGAGAAAAACTCGTGACAGGAATTGCACCCTGTCGTTGGCATGAATAACATACACTTTTATCACAAGCCAGGCAACCCAGATGTCTCCTGTGGTATTAAAGGAAGAAACATATGCAGCCTAATGTTTGGCAATATAATATTAGTTCCTTCAATGAACTGGTATAGCTTATGTTACATAATACATTTAATGAAAAAAAACTAGGTTCCTTCAAGTCAACTAACAAATACTTGTCCCAATTGTCCGTAGTGTATCGTTTCTATATATGTATATTCTTATTAACCACTTTTTTTTATGAGAGACTCAAATCTCTATCAGAGACCTGACATCTCTTTCTTCATCACAGTTGGGGACTATTGATTATATGGTTTAGAAATTTGGACCATTCAACTACTGTTATACCAGACACAGCATGTATTCTATTCTTCCCATTTGGTATTGCCTGGCACTTATAATGTAAGTCTTATCCCCAGGTATGTACAGAAGCAGAGCAATGTCTATGCCATTGTACTGAACTGGCCGGATGCAGAGCTTCAGCTCGGGGCACCCAAGACAACTGCAGCCACTACAGTCAGTTTGCTCGGATATGACGGTAACTTCAGCTTTCAAGAACGAGCCGGAGGGGGCATAACCATACAGATTCCTCCAATCCCCGTCAACAAAATGCCATGTGAATGGGCATGGATCTTCAAACTTACTGCACTTCAATAGACTAGATACTAGTATGCCAACTGGTTCTTGCTATTGTTGTGTATAGATTTCATGTACAGATGTGAACATATTATCCTCAAAATGTATATACAGAGCTACTGAAATAAAATATTTTGAAAATAATGACTTCAGTTCTCTTCATGTTTTTTCTCTGTTGTCCGATTATCTTGATGATTAAGTTGCTGTTTGCTCAAAAAGTGGGGTCTTCTCTAAATTCGACTTAAAAATTGAACACTCTGTTGTAATCTAAAGACCAGGTACATTCCTCTACTTATATTATGGTCACGCTTCCAAAAGAATTATCTTATTCCTGAGTATTGTGTCACACTTGGGTCCTAATCACAAAGCATGCACAAAATAAAATGTTTTAACACTATAAATATACTCACTGTATGCTAAGTTATATAAATGCATTGATGATACTTCAATAACTGTTTCAATATCACTGTCAAATGGAAGACAATCATAGAATTGGTTGAGAGCAATTTCCTGCAAACACAGACAAATTTCCTGCTTCATCAAGAATGTGGTTTTTACAACGCCATATCAAAAGCTAGTATTACTAGATTCACTGTCTATTTTGGCTGGAACAAGTCGACTGCCTCCGTGGTCTAGTGGTAGAGCATCCGCCCAGAGAGCGGAAGGTCTGGGGTTCGATCCCCGAACGCGTCATACCAAAAGACGTTAAAAGATGGTACTTGTTGCTACCCTGTCTGGCGCTCGGCATTAAGGGGCTAAAACAAGGACTGGTCAGCTTGGAGTCAGTATGCTGTGTCTGAGTGGGGTATTTATGTTTAACTGCGTCATGGTATCTCAGTGAGCTAGCACTATAAATCGGCATTAGTCCGGACTAGTACAAGCAGACACACACACACACACATGTGCAAGCATGTCGCTATATAAGTGCAATAATCTTGGAAACGATGTTAAACCCCATTTCACCTCACCTGGAATGAGTCCAAATTTGTTACCCGGGTATCTGACCCCCTTTTACCTGATTTTGCTGCTTCCCCATTATAGGTATCAAGAGTTGGGTACAAAATAGCCCAACTGGGAATTGTTTTACTGGAACCCTGTTAAAAACTATTTAGATACATTTATCAACTGATCCGATCATGAAGACATTGAAGTTGACTGAAGCTTTATCTTTACTCAGACACATAAAAGTCAGAAGTAATGCTTGCAATATTAGTCAGAAAGAAATGCGATCATTAGCAACTTGTAGTGTAACCATGGTGTTTTATTGCTTTTGCCATTAAACAGTATATCACATGACTAACCATGGGTCTGTCCCAGCCCTATTGGCTATATCTGTCAAACCTTACATTTGAAACAATGCCCAATTATTGATTTGTACAGAAATGCACAAAGGATATTGAATTTATATACAGTGGAACCTCGCTTATCCGGACCCCGGATGTCCAGAAACCTCACCAACCGGACAACAAGTACTTGAAACGAAATGTATATTACATAAAAAGCTTCATTTACCTGGAAATCCAGTTTTCGGATCCGGACAGTGAAATTCAATTACCAACAGTCCAAACAGTGTCCCACTTACCGGACAGCTACCAAGTTTGACGATCTTTGTTTCGCAATTCATCACCCGGCATCCAACATGCAAGAGCCAGGGATCATGTGATCGCAGTGTTTAACAATGTTATTACACACACTGGTCATACAAAGTGGTCACTGTTTATCTGGACTGTTTGTAATCTATTTTATTTACTTTTTCCAAAAATTGCATTCAATATTGTTTGCATTAATTTTGGCGAAATTGTGAGTTAATTCGCACAAACTCATTCAGATTAACGATATTGAGTCTCTAAAACGAACATTACTGAAAAGAGAATGGTTATATATGTAATAAATGCCATACTTTTGACTCGCTAAAAGTCATATTTGTTGTAGTTTGACTTTACATGCCAACATGATTGGGGAAATCTCCATGGGTGACTAATCAAACTGTTCCATATGTAAAAACATATCCGGCAACAGCAATCATTTGTACAAAAGTGCTATGCTTATGGTTATTATTATTTTAGATATATAAAATAAAAACTACAACTAAAATAAGACTATATATATCATAATAAAATATAAGTTTCTTGACATAATAATGATTCCAGATACAATTTATTCCCATCATTGCAACAGAATTCCATGAATGTATCTTATTGGGTATTTTTTACCCGAATCACCAGTAGATTGGGAGAAAACTTGTGTATATAGCTAATTGCTATTTCCGGCTTTGTTTACATGACAGTGGGTTTTTTCACTGGGCATTATACTTGAATAATCTTATATATAACAGAGGTTTTTATCTGCTTCCATAGGGAAAGGTCACACAGATCAGTTGCCAAGGGATTTAAATGTCAGGAAATTTGTTTATCCGAACAATAGTTGATTAAAAGCAAGTGTCTGGGTAACCGAGGTTTAAACAGTGGTCATGGTGACATAAAACATGAGTGAGTGAGTGAGTGAGTATGGTTTAGCGCCGCTTTTAGCAATATTCCAGCAATATCACGGCGGGGGACACCAGAAATGGGCTTCACACATTGTACCCATGTCGGGAGACATAAAACATGCAAAACACACATACACTGTATATAAATATACGTCAGAGCTCATACACTGCATGAAATAAAGTTTTGTATTGTGTGATATGAAAAACTAAATCACAATTGGTGTTCTTCCACAGAATGTCCCAAGAAAACTTATTCATTCATATTATAAAAACTATGGTAGAACAAATGTTTTTGTAATTAAACATATTGTTGAAAAGAATTTCATCAAAACATTCCAAATTCAAGAAAAAATATTAATAATGTGAATAAGGAACATTTTCTTGCCATAAGTATACAGCTTAGACATCAGGGGTAGTGGGGTAGCCTAGCCATTAAAGCGTATGATTGTCACGACGAAGACCCTTCAGTTCCTCATATGGTACAATGTGTAATGCCCGGTTGTTGTGTCCCCCGCCGTGATATTGCTGAAATATTGCTAAATGTGGTGTAAAATAGGGCTGCTACGAATACGCTATCAGACAAAAACGATTCGTATCATGAATATAGGGTAACGAATACGAATATTTATTCACTATACAATAGTGAGTAAGTGAGTATGGTTTTACGCCGCTCATAGCAATATTCCAGCAATATCACAGCGGGGTACACCAGAAATGGGCTTTACACATTGAACCCATGTGGGGAATCGAACCCGGGTCTTCGGCGTGACAAGCGAACGATTTAACCACTAGGCTACTCCACTGCCCCTCACTAATACAATAACCAGTCAGCAGTTGATGTATTATTTATGATATTCAGTGAAACAATAACAAAATAAATTATTTGACATGGTTTGTTAATTATTAATTTACTATACATTTATATACTGCACTTATCCAGGTACTAGAATCTGCTCAAATGTGACAATGACCAGTGACTAAAATACTGTCAAATTAAATATAAAAGAGTGTTGTCTGAAGAAATCTATGCATATAATATGTTCTTATGGATATTTCAAGGGTCAAGGTATGTAAATGCACATGACTGCATATTCATAAATATTCGATTCTAGTGACCACAAATAAAGAATTCAATTCATGAATGGATACGGTTCGATTCACCGAATATGCGAGTGAATCGTAACAGCCCTAGTGTAAAACCACACTAACTCACTCACTTAGATATTAGTTATTGAAATAGGTAACAAGTAGATTAACATAACCAATTACAATATTTGACAAAAACACTTTCAAGACCTTTTTGTTCTATTTTGGAATAAAATAGATTAATTCTCAGATGATTCAAATGATTCTTTTTCTTTGAACAATCCAATGAAAGGTTGGTCGGAGGGTGATGAAATTATCGGTAAATTACTCAATTAGGGTAGATCAGGTGAACATGTAACATTAGTTTTTCTGTGATTTTACTCCAAACACAACACTACTTTGGTAATTTTAAGTCTTGGTGATGAGCGCAAAACACATTTGGGGATATCATTGTGATGGAACTTTTTGCATCACACACCTTCCTAAAAAAAATACCAACACCTTATCTATGCATAGAAATCAAAATAATGGCAACCCTTGTATCAAGCTGTATGATGAGGGATTTTCTTGCTTTCAATTTCCACATCATGAATTTCCTTTTCATGTTGAGCAATATGCCAACAGCTCCTGCTTGTGTACTTAAGACCATGTTCACATTATTCACATTTCATGGAACATCGCATTTTACTTACAGCTAAGCTTTTTCATCAAGGTTAAACATCAAAGGCTTAAGGTAGACATTCAAAGGAATTTGACACATCGTTAGTCAACATGATGTGCCATGCTATCCTATACTATGACCATTACATGGTTTTCACACCTAAGTGCTTGTATCATGCTTAAATGGCTTGGTTGAAAGTGTGGCGTTTTACCCCAAAGACGTGGATCACTGCTTATGATACTGAACACTGGATTGTGTGGTCCAGACTCGATTGCTCACCGGCTGCCATTGTATGGCAAGAGTTTTGCTGGGTGGGCATTAGGCAACAAACAAATACTTTTTTAATGCAAATTGTGTTAGTGGTTAGTGGCTACTGGTAGAACAGGTCCTGCTTACCCCTTTTCGCAAAACCTGGTGTCATCACTGATTTTCAATATTCACTTCATACATTTTAATCACTATTTTGCATTTTACTCCCACTGGAATCTGTTGTGGCAGATAATCAAGATTGATGATTCTCTGGCATTGATAAATCATTCTCACTGCTGGAAATAGAATCTGCATGTCTTTTAACATAATTGCCGTTATTTAGTAAATGTGGTCTCATGGTTGAATATCTTATATCTCTGCATTGTGAATAGGTAACCGATAGATGCAGAGCTGATGATTATCTGATGTAACTGCATGAGTTATATATATCAGAGCATTAGCAGGGCAAGAGGCTGTAAAATCACTGCTTAATATCAACAAGACAAATCATGACAAATTACATCTCTCAGTTCCTGTTAATCTTCCTCAAGCACGCATCACATGGCCTCCTACAGAAACACATTGACTTAACATGTTAGTCAAGGTACTGTGTTGGCCACACAGATCACATCAGGCAAAGTTAAGAAGCAATGTGACAGAGAGTAGGTGGATGTAAACCTCGCACAGCAAGCTTAAGACTCTCTAGAGCTTCAGCCTACATAGGTTATACATCATGTGGGGGCACGGGTGGCCCAGTCGTCTAAGGCTCCGCGATTTGCTGTGCAGAGTTGCGTCCCTTGGGCACGCCAGAAACCAATGATTGTGGGTTCGAATCCAGGTTCGCCCTAATTATGGTTCTAGGTTTGTCAGCACCATACCCGTGCTCGTGGGTTTCACTGAAGTGGTAAACGTCTGAGACCTGCATCACTTCGGGCTTTCCCCCCACATTAAGATGACACGCTGTGATATAACTGGAATACTGTTAAAAGCAGCATTAAACCCAACTCACTCACTCACTTATACATCATGTGGTGTTACCTCAGACAAGTTCAAAATTTGCCTCTTTTCCTCCAGCAATGCATGACCACAGGTAGGATGCTTGTTTGCAAGGGCCTTCAAAAATGGAAGCAGCCCCTGCAGAGCTATTTCTATTCCAGATAGCCCATCATTACATAGTGCCACACATTTCATATATGATAGCCATGTGTGTAAAGATACATCAAACTATCGATGCATTTCAACTGTTTGCCCAACGATTGTACTATATCAACAACACCATTGGTATTCTGACTTTGACATTGGCAGCAATACTATACAATTCCATTACATTGATAAACATCATTCTCAAGCTCTAAAGTTGGTTTAATACTATCGCAATACCACAGCAAGTGTGGCGAACTGTTTCAAAACAATAGCCCCAATAGTCACCCCTAACAGGGGAGTTCAAAAACCAAAACTTCTTATTTGCCCAAGGGCAAGTAAACTTACAAATATTACTTACCCAGCCTGAATTTCAACTTCAGAAGAAAACATTAATTTTGACTTCATTAACTGAAGCAACAGCTAGTGAAATGTGTGAAGTATAAAAATGTCGTCAGATACTTTATCTGCAGTTGACAACCTGACCGATGCATCTTCTAAGTTGCAAAGTTGATACCGCCGATTTTCATGCTTGCCCGAGGGCATCTAAATTATATGTTCCCATTGGCCCAGCACTTTACTTTCACAGGTCGGGCAAGTCGGCATACTAATTGAACACCCCTGCCTCGTGATACCATTACCTCTGGTTTGGGGAAATACATGCCTAGTACAAAGTCAAACCAGATGAAGGCGCCTTGCCTCTAGCTACTTTAATAATAATGTTATTTGCACTTCCAGTGTAATGACATCACATCTGGTTGGGGGGAAAATTATGTCGGCCTGGAAGCGCCAAATTTGATGTTTAGGAGGGAAAGACCTTGTTGCATTCCCAGGGTCAGTCAGGGCTCAGACGTGGTTCAGTGACACAGGATTAGGCACTCCCTTTACAAGGCAAATATAATGAGAACAAAGGAGTACAGCTCATCAACTTCATACCCATATTTATGCTTGTTCAGTTAAAATGTTTAACACGTTAAAATGTACATATTCACATCAATGTTCAGGAAGGCAGGATGAGTGTGGGCCAGTTCAGTTCTTGCAGAGGGGGTCAGGTAGCCTAGTGGTTAAAGCATTCACTCATTGAAGACCCGGGTTCAGTTCCGACATGGGTACAATGTGTGAAACCCATTTCTGGTGCCCTGTGCCGCGATATTGCTGGAATATTGCTAGAAGCCTCATAAAACCATACTCACTCACTCACTCAGTTCTTGCAGAGTCTGTCTACACGGGTTAATAGGTGTGCTGTACACCAGGCTTCACCACATCTCCCATATGTACTTTGTTTCAGTGTGTACCCTTGTGCAACGAAACCTGTACTTGCCATAATACAGTTGCTGTCCACATTTCACACTCTCTATTAAAGTCACTCTCATCGATGTTATTACCATAATAACAATTCAGCATATGAAAACTTTTCGGGTTGTTCGATCTTCAAAAACAAGTGCATTATCTGTAAACACATTCACATTGTTATTAGACTCACTGCAACTGTAAACACATCAATAACTCTTTTGTACTTTGATCTTCTCAAGCGCTTTATCTGTAAACACATCAGCAGCATGAGTAGACTCACTGCCTGTAAGTTGATAACCTCGTGATCTGTTTACATTAATTGTACTTGTGTCTTATGCAATTTATGTTATGGTACTCTTTCAGGATAACTTGTTTTATATCATAAAGCGTATTTCTACTAATGTATTTCGGCATTGCCTCGTTTATATCATAAAACGGTATAAATTCACGGTTCACCACATTCACCGATAATCCATCGATTTGGCGCTCGTGGTACCAACAGCAGAATTTGCAAAATGTATTTGTTCAAACAGCATGTTTAGAAATTAAGGCTACTTCTGTGCATCTGTCTGTGTTGGTAACTACAGTAAAAAATCCCCCAGACACAAGGTCACAACTGTCACAAGTGTGCAATGTCTGACTCTTTCCCCGTGTTGAAGCATATTGATAAAAACTTACCTTTCACTAACCTTTTGTTGAAAAAAAAGACAACATTGTAAACATAAGAGACATTAATACAACATTTACAGTGTTTCTGCTGTCTTTTGAAACTTGTCAGTCGAGGTGGACTGGCAACTCTAAATATTTACCAGATCCCCAAACTTTGAAATAAAAGAAAAAATATGCAAATTACCTGGTTTTAATTTTTTCAACATCATGTTCTGTGCAGACAAAACAGACAGCAGGAACCCTGGTGATAACAGACAAGGTGGCTACGTTCGAAAATATACTGTATATTGATTATCGTGGATGTTTTGTTCAACAACAAAGATTTATAAGGTACTTTATTTGCCAGTCCACAGAGACTGACAGTCACATGAATTACCGGTACAAGCCCAATTTTATTGGTTGTTACCGGTAAACGGAAACACTGATATAATATCTTCATGTCATGACCAATAATAAAGGCATGATGCTGAGAACACTGATCGAAAACAGGACAATGACATTTGTTACTAACATTCTCCAAATGACATGAAACTTAATGAGAGCCATTCATTGGTCATTAGAAAGACTATTACTCAATCAGGAAACTGATTACAAACCAAACATATTTGAGATCCGGAAGGTCACTTAAAACTCGGAATAGGCTTTAAGTGGAAAGTGATTGTGTAAAACGAGTTTGACATCACATGTATGTAATGCACCCAAGGGCACATGATATCCCGTTTTGATGCGTTAATTATTACAATAATGTGTCAATGCCACAAAAATGCAGCCTAGATCTAACCCTGAAATACTATGACATTAAGTTTGTTTTTGGAACATGCATGCTCATACAGTACACTAATAAAACAGACAGTCCAGTGCTTCTAGCTACCTAAAACAGAAAATCATTGGCGCATGGTCTAATTACCTTGACCATCAGTTTCAGCTAAGCATGTGCTTGATTATTTCTTGTAAGCGACAGAGAGTTGTCATGAACATTATACATTCTTGTATTTCATGACTTTGAGAATGAATCTGACGTTCAATACAAGAATGTCCTGTATCTTCCCAAGGGTTAAACATCTAAATATGATGTCTCAAAGTGGGATTCAATGTAACAATATAAATATAGCAGATGCTGCTACACACTGAAAGTAGGTCTTCATGTTTCACTTTCAATAACTTAATTCATTCATTTCTCCATCCATCAATTTGTTTTTTAATACAAATGCAACCTTCAAACATTTAAGAGGCACTCGTTTATTCTCACAAAGACCCAATCTTGTTCGCTGACTTTCACAGACTCACAGATGCTCCTGTCCCCTCTCCAAAAACTCATAGATACTATTGCTCAGTCCAACCATTTACAGATATATCCACACAAAAGTATTCCTCTACATCCCCTGACCTTGCAGACAAAGTTGTACTCTCCCATGCACTCATAAGCATGCGTGTATCCTCCTACTATCCTCTAGACACCCTTGTACTCTCAACTCCCTCTTAAACTTTAGAAAAGGCATTTCACCTGATAAAGGAGTAAGTATATACTCTGAAATGTTGTGTTCCTCATAATATAGAAGTTGACATCCATAAATTCTCCTCCTTAATTGTGTCCATGTCCACAATCTCATGGACACTTTTGTCTATGTCAACAATCTCATGGACACTTTTGTCTATGTCTTCAATCTCTCAGACCCTTTTTGTTTATGTCCATAATCACAGATTCTTTTTTCTATGTCTACAATCTTACAGTTACAGACACTCTTATCCATGTCCACAATCGCACTGGCCACAATTCTCTAATACGTATTCTCAACTATCTCACAGACCCTTTTATACTCTGTCCCACCATTTAAAGACAGGTTTGTGAGTTCCACTGTACTTCTAAGACATCACAAACCCCTAATAGAAATGCCACATTAAGGGTTAATGCTCTGTGAGAGTGCCACAGAATCCCTCTGGATCAATACCTTGAGACAAAATATGGACACAACACCTCAGCCCAGCACAACAATCAACATGTGGCATTTGTGAATTGGAGGCCAAACTTACCATGCATTCGTCAGTGAGGTTCTGCCTGTCTGCTGATCAAGTCTGTGTGGTATCCATTTTTCTAAACATTTGCACATCACATGAACATAGACTTCAGTCTGTCAACACCATGTACGTAGACTGCCGCTGTCGTTAACACGCTACATTAGTGCGGGAGATTGTTGCCTCCTGTACCAGTGAAGTCATTGGGCAGATTTGTCTGCGACTGTTGGAAACGTGACAACCATCTGTCAAACAAAAGATAAAGGGAATCAATACAGCATTGTTTATAATTGATTTCACTTTTTGATATGGATGCATGTGGATGTGATGTTTCCAAGCTAACTTTTACTTTTTTTCACTTAACACATGATGGATGGACGGATGGATGGATGGATGGACGGATGGATGGATAAAGGGATGAACTGACCAAAAATGTAACTATGAATAAATTTAACAAAATCTTTTTTGAATGGGGGTATTATGAAAGTAAAGATGGAAGTTATGTCAGCAACATGATTTCATGACCGTAATTAATAATGCTAGCAACAACAAAATCTTTGTCATTTTTCCTGTCAACGAGGAATGCAGATGGATCAGACGTCTAAGGCATTCTTGGTGCAGAATTGTCTTCATAGGTGTGCCAGAAATTATGACCATGGGTTCAAATCTCAGGTCAATCCTGATTACGTTTGTTGGGTTCTCAGTTTCAGACCAGACTCATGGGATCTATTAACATGGTTTATGTCAAAGCTTCACTTTGGGCTGTCATCCCACATAATATACCGGTATGCTGACATGCCGAGATAGAAATGAAATACTGATCAAGTTTCTTTGCATGAACGTTTTTGTTACAACTGTGTATCCTCATTTTGTCATTTGTTACTGTGATTTGCTGTGCAGAGTTGTGGCCCTTAGGCATGCCAGAAACCAATGATCATAGCTTGGAATCATGAATTTCACTCTGGTTATATTATCTCAGCCTCTCTCCCACATCTATTCACTCACTAACTCCTCCACACCATGTACACATACATCAGCAAATATTTCATTTTTCAGGTAAATCTGCCAGGACTAATATATATACTTTTAAGAATTCAAACTTTACTGTCAATAGTGACACCGAATTACATGTACTGTTGTGACCTATCCACCCACATGATGTGTGACCTGGGAAGATCTGGGGTAGAATAGGTCTTCAGCAACCCATGCTTGCTGCAAAAGGCGACTTTGCTTGTCGTAAGAGGCGACTAATGGGATCGCTGTCTTGGCTGATGCATGTCATCCTACCCCAATTGCATAGATTGATGCTCATGATGTCAATCACAGGATTGTCTGGTCAAGACTCGATTATTTACAAACCAAATATTGCTGAGTGCGGCGTTAAACAACAAACAAACAAACATGATGTTCTGCAAGTGAGAGCGCAGCTAGGTTTGAATGACTGAATATTGTGAAATTACACCAAGGATATTATCAAATGCAACAGAATGATATTTTTTAGTATTGTTGTTTAATACTGTCATACAGTTTCGCATATGATACCACACGTTGTTCAATCATTTTTTAACAAATAGTTCCAGGAACTTATTTCTTGACGAATGGATTTCCAGACAAATGGTATTTCCCAAAAGAAGTTTAGGTTACCGTGTTTTCTTGAGTATAGTGCGCACCCAAGTATAATGCGCAGCCTCCTCTAGCAGATTCAGTATTTTGGAGAAAAAAAAATTGAATATTATGTGCAGAAAAAATTACACCATACCCCTTCATCGAATTCCGGTAAATTTGTTTTGCTTTGTGTTGCCCACGAAACTGAATCTCTGGTAGTTTTCTCTATGCATATAGTATCATAAGATTTCAACAATTGTATGTTAGTTACGGTACTAAATGGGGAAATCTTGTTGAAATGATAAATAGAATTCACAACTCAAGTTATTCTTTAATATATGGGAATATGAACCTTGTCCAAATATTCAGTACTTGGCTCAACAAATGCTTGACAAGTACCATTTAATTAAGACACGGTTGAAACTTCCCATATTATAAATTTACTCAAGAAGAATACTCTGTGGCTACTGAGTAGAGAGAAATATGTCCTACTTTAGTCTTGAATATATGAATCAAAATGTTGAATGATGAAATGATAAAATGTCTTCAGCATCCAAACAGAAACAAATATTTTCACAGTTATTGCATCATCATTTTCGATTCATCTTAAAAAATTCTCTGTGACAAGATATCAACATTTAAGAATATATTTTCAATTTCTCATTTCCCTCTTTGACAGTGTAAGCCAAGTTTCAGGCACTGGATCAGAAGGGCAGTCATTGATTTTGTTTTATTTCTCTCTAAATGAGAGAGCTGTTCCATTTGAACATGTCTACAGCTGTAGTACTGCTGGCAATAACTACAGCGATAATTCTTCGTGAAATGTAAAGTGTTTGTTTCCATTTTCAGAAGCAAAATAAAATCTATAAATTGTTAAGTCAAATTGCCTACATTCATAGATTAGAAGCACTCATGATGAAACAGTATTAGTACTTGTATTTCTGACACAAAAACAATCACATTCAGATATATCTGTAAACGATATGTCCACTTGTCCAACACTTCACATTGAAGTCAAAAGCTATTAAACCGTTGCCAAAATTACTTCATGAAGCATTTTTTGTTTTGTGTATTTGTTTAACACCAAACTGAGAATAATGCAGCTATATGACTCCAGACTGTCAATAATCATGTCAGGAAAAAACAAACCAGTGATTGATATTACAAGCAACGATCCACGCTGTCAGGGTAAGGTGAATTCCAATATCTGCACGTGAACATTTTAGCAATTCTCAATGCTCACTGGTCAATTGAAGCCAAATGACATCACAGTGCTTTATTATTCCATTGTTCATAGCGTCACAAACTGATTTCTTTACGTCATCTGAATGGCTGCTTTCAGCGAAGCTTCTCTGTAAGGTTGACATTTAAAATGTTTTCCTTTATTTTCTCTCTGAAAATGTCATTGGGTAATATGTAGAACCAAGTCACTGAGTCTGATTCATGAAGTCAGCTATTATGAAAAGAACTGAATACTGGGATGCATTCCAACCCAGCAACCACATGGGGTGAATGTCAAAACAATGGTAGAAGCCTTCATCTGATGGAACCATTGTCCTTTGGACAAAAAAAGCCCCAGAAATAAATAGCCGTTAGTGTTGTAACCATTCATTGTGACCTCCATGCTGCTTTGAATCACTCAGTTTTATTGTCATATGACCCTCAAGAGAAATGTCAAGTTGTTTTGGCTGCTGCTGGCCATATAAAACAAATATTCATCAATCTCCATCCATTTTGCCAGGCAACACACAAGAGCAAATATCAGGAAGATAATAGGTGTGGAATAAGACTGTCTGATTCTAGTGGTCTTTGCAGAAAATGCCAACAGTGGTGCCAACTATGTTACTCTCGTTTCTCTGTGAGGTGGGTGGAAATATGACATAAGGATTATTAGGGATAAAATTGTGCCCTTTGTTACTTCCGTTGCATCCTATGATTTTCTCTTTCTTTTAGCAAGCAATGATGTGCAAGGGCAATTTTTGATATAGGAGTGTTGGATTGTGACATACATGCCACTTTAACAGTATACATATAAGTAGGAAAAATATATATTCACCGCCAAAAGAAACACGAATACCATACATGTTGGCCAATATATGAAGACTTACTCATATTCAAGAGACATTAGATTGGGTCAGAGCACAAACAAACATACAGGTATGTTGTGTGTACAGATGCTCATGAACTCATCATATGTGATGTCATAGATCCATGACTAGAGATGCAGCATTTTTATCATCCAAAACTGGCTCCCACACTGTAGATATTGCTGCAATGAAATTGCATCACAATGCTTTGCAGACCATTGTGACGTCATTGGTTACCATGATGTCACAATCAAATGACATCACTAATGGCTCTGCTACTGAAGCTGTTAGCAGTACTTTTTACACTTATTACTGTCTACAAACTGAAAAAGTTGGAAGAATGATGTTGGATGATATATAAAATCTCACCCTCGTGTCTTTTGATATCAAATATATCAACACTCGTTGATAAAAGTGGCAAAAATCCTCAGCAAGCCTTGGAGTTTTCCCACTTTTATAAACTCGTGTTGATATATTTGATATCAAAAGACACTCTGGTGAGATTCTCTATGTCTCGTGCAGAATTCGCATGTAAAGTTTGGAAATCACGTGCAGCATATCGTGATGATAATAAAGTCACTCTGTGGTTACACTTGACTGATTGTTAGTTTTGTCGTTAATTGGTACACATTGGAAACATCTGTTTTTAACGTACATACTTCTCTATATTTTTCTTTGGTTCGCGTTTCTTTTGGCGAGTGAGTGAGTATGGTTTTTTCGTCGGTTTTAGCAATATTCCTGCAATATCACGGCGGGGACACCAGAAATTGGCTTCACACATTGTACCCATGTCGGGAATCGAACCCAGGTCTTCGGCGTGACGAGCGAACGCTTTAACCACTAGGCTACCCGACCGCCCCATTTCATGATTTACATACAGGAAGATGAGTAGTCGGTGATTTTGCTCTGGCCTCGTTTGCTGACTGCATTTGTGAAACTGCGATACGCAGATTTAGCTACGATCCCCCTCCTCTGCTTAAACAGTCGATCTATGCAGTGTTACACGTGAAATCGTCATGGCCTAATTTCACTAAGTTTGTCAGCATTGGTCTGCAGTAACTGGCCATTAAGAAGAATGTTTTCGCTTCTCACAGCTTGAAACCACTCGGAGAGGGTGTCTTCTCCGTCTTGTTGATTGGCAGCTTGTCACTTTTTCTGGGCAGGGCCAAAGTCAGTCAACTCAAGATTCAAGAACGGACTCTCTCGTCTTAATGATGATACTCAATGTTGATTTGTAAAAGTCCGATTCCACTGCAATGTTTTTCTAAGCTTCAATGCCTGCATCAATAGCATTTATGATTCGCAATTTTGTACCTTGACTGATAGCTTTCCTGCCCCACTGCCCACCATGATAGCAATTGCAAGTGAACTGACACTTTGACACAAGCTCTTGAAATTACTGAATAATGTTCGTTTTACAGAAATGATTGGTCCAATTACAGGTAAGATTAACAAAAAGTAAATTCAACAAGGTTGAATTGTCACCGCTGATTGTTTGGATTCGCACTGACTGCGCATAGCAAAATTTTAGTGACACTTGACACTTGTGAGAT